TGGTCTTGTCGTCTGTTTTCAAATGATATTGAAAAAGGATATAATCAGAAAGCTTAAGGACAGATTATAAAAACGGCTTGGCTTCTTTTAGGAAGAACAGGTACTTCTGGGTGCTGAGCTCTTCAGAAAAATCTCTCCACAAAAGCAGGTCCCAAGATGGGAGCTGAACTCTTGAAAATCTGTTCCTTCATGCTTTCTTTCCATCTGTTGCTCTGCTGGAACAAAAGCCCTAGGCTGGCCTAACCTGGGGGCTGCAGCAGGAGAAACTTTGCCTGCAATTGAATGCTCTTCTTCCAAATGATGTCTAATAGGAGATTTATTCCATCTATTATGCATTGTCTTATTTTGGGATATGCCAGGGCCATTTAAAACACTGTAAGTTGCTGTGATGTCCACAAGAAGAAGATTACTGTGTGAGGTAAAATATTGCTGTGGCCAGCGCTTGTCACGGTTGCTTAATGCTTAGCGGTCAGGCTGTGTTGAGCTGACGGGCTTAGAATTTCTATTCAGCATCCCTTGCCCAAAGCAGATGAGAATGACCCCTTTTGTCCTGTCTGTTATTATCAGGCAGCTTCAGAAAATGAGCACTGTTGAATGAAAAGAAAGCAGCAGATGACATTTTGTTTTCTGCATGAACTAGTGTATAGGTTCTTTGTTTTTCAGAAATGGTTTTGAAGAAGATGTGCTAATATTGCTGCTATTTTAGCAGTAGTTCTTTTGTTCAAGCCTGAATGTAGATTTGTGGGAGTTGGGGTGTCCGTTTATATTAGCAAGCTCTTTCCTTGTAAAATCCCACGGATACCTAAAATATGAATATGTATATTCTGAATAAGTCTTTTTTTAATATTACTGTAACTTTCCTTTCCTGGAGCATAATCTTATTTCTATAAAAAAGAGATGGTCTTATTTTCAGAATAATAAGTTCTGAAAATTTTTGTCTGTAGGCAGAGATTACACTTACTCTGAATAATGACACACACTTACTCTGAATAATTACACTTACTATTTTAACCCAATAGTGAGCATGGGTTAGGGACTCCTGTTTGTATTGAGCACAGTAGACATGCCCTTTGATTTAAGTTATATATCACCAAGCATTAGGTCTGGAGATCCAGTATTTCAAAATACAGCTACCACACAGACAGGTCTGGAAATCTTCTGACTTTGGAGTGTCTTAGTCATCCTCGTCGCTGTTTTCTACAGCTGACCAGAAAGCTTTTCTGCATTATTGATGTACCATTGAGACATGGAGGTTGCCAAAGAAGTGACCTACATTGTGTCTGTAAACAATAACATGAGAATTGCGCTCACAAAATGGGTTGGCTTTGAAAGTGAGTGTCTTCTGCATACAGGATTTTGTTGACATTTTCATGGGTGATTTGAGAATCATTTGGGAGCCAGGAGTCTCAGCTGGATTTTCAAGTGTGCCAGCAGCCTGACTAGGTGGATTCATATACTCTAATTTTTGATCATCCAGTTTTCATCCATGTCAATTAGGAGGCTAGTCTTCATCTACAGTCACTTATGAGGCAGTTTGGCTCCTTTTGGACTCAGAGCAGAAGGCGGTAGTGTTTTTAAGTCATTCTCACAGTGCTTCGTGTATAGAAGTCAGTGAGCTCAATTGGGTAAATAAGTTCAGCTGAACAGAGGATACATCATCTTTAGGGCTGGTTTTTGTTAAGATTTTTAAAATTCACTAGAGTGATGTTCCAAGGTTCACTTGTTTCAGCAACAAAGAAATAGCAATGATACGGGTCATCTTCTGCCAGCTGGATGCAGGTAGTTTCAAAATGTCAGATGCCAAGGCTGTGAGTGTGATGTGTTAAGAAGGTGCTAATGAAGTGCAGGGCTTGAGTACAGTAATACTTTGGGAGACTAAATGTTCCTTCATTTCTGTCTTCCCAAAAGCCTCTGCATCCCTGCACCAGCTTACTGCACCCAGGCACATCATGATCGTTGAATTAACTATCCTTGCAGCTTCTCCTCTGCATGCCTACCAGCATGTGGCTTCACGATCAGCTCCATTGCTAAGTCCCTGGTCCCCTGCTTATGGGGAGGTAGGAGGAATATATAGAGAGGGGATGAGTGGGCAGGCAGACACACACTGAGGCCAGCTGAAGCTGATTGTGAAACCAGAACCTCAGACAGGCTCCGAAAATTCTTACACACCCTTTCTCATCCATTAACCTCTGCTCAGCGCACAACCTGGACTGGCACAGCTAAATACAGAACCGTGGGAAGCCTATTTCCCACTTAGAGACTGACCTCAACAGAGTCCCTGTATGGATACGCTGGAATTACTTGGCAGTCCAACTGTGGCTTCCTTAGAAGGGTAGTGAGGGGAAACAACTTGAAGGCAGAAAAACAACTTCTTCATGTTCCTACTGGTAGCAGTCAAGCCCTGTGGGTTTGGCCCTGTGCCCTGTAACTGCCAATGCAGTCCCCTGGCAAAACAGAAAACAAGCCAGTGTAAGTGGGCTGGTTTGATGGCTAGACTAAACAGAAGGTTATTACCAGGACCTTTCAGTTCATTTTTCAGTTCATTTTATGTGCTGTTCTTTATGACACTCTTTATGGTTCTCTTCCCTTTCTTCGTTATTTCCCACCATTCTGGTACTCTTTGCTGCAAATACTTTAACTAACTATTAGTAAACTCCTTGTTAACTTCACTGGAGTGGAGACCTGTTGCTTGGAAATGTATTGGCTCATGTATATAAGTACCTGTGGCATAACAGGCTCTTATGCATCAGGAGAGCTGTTGTAACTTTCTGAATGGACAAGGGGTCTTGTCGAAGAGTTTTTGGCATTCTGTAGATTGGCAAATCCTCATCTATATTGTCATTCATTTCTCAAAGAATACTTCGCAAGGCATGAATTATGCAAATAAAAGTTGCTCCTTCCACAGTAGATTGGATTTATTTGTGTCTACTAATTCTATTTATAATCAATTCGTCAGCTCTGAAAGACTCAGTCTTAATGTTCTTCTGTTTTTGTTGTTAAATATAATGGCTCTCATTTTTCACCTTTTCTCTTAATGCTTAGGTTCATTTGAGTGATAGATTTCTTACCACAGTTAATGAAGCAATGAATTTGAGTTTGTGCAGAAATCCTGGTGAAAGCTGTCTGGCTTGTACATATTATAACTTTAGATTTTGTCAGGTTTCAGAAGAAGGCTCTTTTACAAATGCTTCAGTTTGAGGCAGTTCCTTGGAGCTGACCTTTCAAAAGTAGCTCAAATTCAGAAGTCACTCGAGGCATATCCATAATGAATATAAATGTGAAAAAAAGAAAGCCATGGAAGTTTCTCCTGCTTTAAAAATAAGGTTTGTATCATAAATAGTTCAGCAAATTGGCTGCTGACAACTGCAGATACCTTTAGTATATTGAATAGGGTATATTTCCAAATAAGGCCGTATTTAAGTTCTGCATGGGGCTTGCTCTTAGGCCTCTAAAGTGCAGCATTTCCCATTGCTAAGAGACGAAGTGGTGGTAGCAAGGTAATACTATCCATGAGTTCTATTTTGGTGATAATAAACCTGTGAAAATAACTGGAAGTAACTGGATTCCACTCTTTTGTGTGCAGCTGTAACTGGAAGAGGATTTTACAAGATTCTTTAATGTAGTTGGCATGTATGTGTAATCTTTTGACCTTGTTCTTAGTTTTTGATGACTATGGCATGTTAAGTGCTGATAATTGGGTTTGCTCTAGGCTGAAACCTGACCTGCTCTCTGCAAAGGAGAAGATCACATCTATTGTAGGAGGCATTCAAAGGGGCTACCTTAGAAATTGCAAGGCCATGACTGCTAAGAGTAAGGATCTCTGAAATACGGCAGTTTCTCAGGAAGGACATGTTGTCCTAAGGAATGCTTCTCTTTCAGCTTAGTTTGAATTGGATTTTTCATCCAAAGGTTTTTGTCCTGTTCTCTAAATTTTCTTTTTTATGCTATCTGGTTTGCCTCATAACTCAAGCTGCCCTACTGAGCCTTGTAGCTTCAGCTAGTGGAACATGACTCCTAGGTATGAGAGCATGAGGCACATGCTTTTCACTGTTCTTGGAAGGGGATTCAGCTCTCCTTGTTTAAGCCATGTGCAAATGAGGCCTCTAATCCAAACTAGTTTTTAGCTTCCTTCTCCAACCATGGGGAAAGGAGGAGATCTTCAGAGACTAATTGCATCCAAATACCAGTGTTCAAAATAGATGGGATTAATTGTCCTATGGAGATGTCTGTCTCTTTCCACTGAGTTGAGAAGAAGCCTAAAAATTAACTTTGTCTCACTGTCAAATTTTTAGAAGACTAAATTTAGAGGAAGTTAATCCTGCCCTTGTTTCGAGAAAGTACTGAGTGACATTTGTCAATTCTGCAAATAGCAGTCTGTCCAACCAAGTATCTTCCAGTCCCTGCTTGCTTCAGTTTAAAGGCGATGTAGTCTTCATATCATGCCTTCTCTGAGGAGGATGAGGGGAGTGTCTAACACCTTTATGAAAGGAGTATGCAGCAGTCAAAAACAGCAGCAAGCACTGACAAGGAATTGGAGCCAAAGAGATTTTTAAAAACCTGTCCAAAGGGATCAGTGCGATGGTCCAACCTGCACTTTGTTTTTCAAGCCATCCCTCTTCTGTCTGTCTATGACAGTGTTGCTGGAACTGCTCTTCTTTCTTATTTTAAGCTTTCTGTGTGTGAGGAGTAAAACTGCTTAAAACAAATGTGATTGAGTGGTAGTTTGCACCGTAAGGCATTGTTAGCCCTACTCTTCCAGTTCCCATTGGGTTCCTTGATAGTTCTTAAGAATACAAAACATGAGTACAGGTAGAGTGTGTCAGACCAACAGTCCCTCCAGCTCAATATCCTGTTCCTGCCAGCGACTAACAGATGCCTATGTACCTTTCTCTAATCCTTTCCCAGCCTCCATTTATTTTCAGCTTGAAAGACTTTCTAGCCATAAATCTTTCTTGTTAAATGAAGAATTGCAGCTGACTTTCTTGTTTCTTATGTTTTAGAACTAAAAAAACGAAGAAGGCATCTGCTCCTCCAACCAAGGAAGAGAAGCCCAAATTAACCATTTTTGAAGAGGAAATAGATCCAGATGAAGGACTCTTTGGCCCAGAAAAAGATTTCTCATCAATTGGTCCCAGGAAGAAGATGAAAGAGAGTAAATCTTTTCTATATTTGTATATACACAGATTGTTTTATTTAAAGCATGTGTGTATAACTGAGCTTTTAAAATGTAGTGATACAGAGTATACAGGCTAAATAGTGACTTGGGAATGTTAAGGCAAATCTTCAGCTGGGGCAGAATCATCTAGAATCATTCAGAAAGAATAAGACCTGTAGCTCCCATAGCTGTTCACTGTTGACATTTTGGGCTGGGATATTATAGGTCTGTGGGAGCTGGCTGTCCCACAGTCACTCATGCCACACTAACAAGAGTAATGTGACCTACTTTTGAGTGCAAGAAGAAAGCAGATTTACCAAGTCCTGAGAGTGCAGAGTATCACTGCACTTCGTGGATTGGAAGTCCTTGTAAAAAAACAATTGTCTACCTAATCTTTTTTTTCAGCCCAATAGCTAGATTTACTAGCTAGTGTTAACGCAGGTTTTGTGTTAGGTAACATGATTTAACTACAGCATTTTCTGGTTCCCCTTTCTAGATCTGAAATTATTTGAAGATCCAGACCTTGGTGGGGTGGTAAGACTGGGTGACTCACTACTGCTGCCAGCTGCCTGTAAGAACAGGGAGTATGTGCTGAACACGGGTCCTGAGGAGGACACTGAGAAACTGCTGAGGTACACATCTCAAATCTATCGTATAGGATGAAGGTGATCTGAGGAGTTATTTAGACCTCCAAAGAGACGAATTTGAAGGCAAAGCTTAAATACTTTGAATGCTAACTGTGAATCAATGTTTGTACTTACAAGTAAAAGATATGTGTCATGGAGCTTGGAAATCAAACACATTAAAAAGGAAGTCAGGAAGACCCTTTGAGAAAGGTAGGGAACAAGGTATTATTCTGTGACTCCAAAGGAAGGGTCTTGAAAGGTCCAAGTCATGTCATCTAGTCATTGCTTTCTAACATGGCACTTCCGCTTTCTGCAAGCGATCCACAGGGGGTGAAAACTGACCTCCATCATGAAAATTGAGAAACAAAGCCCAGAAGCAAAGAGGAATTCAGCTTCAGTGAGCTGAAATCAGGGGCTCTTGCCATAAGAGGAATGATTTTCTGCAGGTGGCTCACAGATCTCCATGCACACTTCCAGGAGGAATCCTGTGCACACCTCCACAAGCTCATTAAATTCTCTATCACCCTGCATTTAATTTTTAATCTAGTGGAAAGGAGGGCTGGAGCTCAGAGTTACAGGAGGGAATAATGTACTTGCTCTTACACTTACCTGCCCCTTGATAGTGTTGCGCTGGAACATATCATCACATAATGTGTTTTATTCCTGACATCTCTCTCACAAGGCTAGATTGCCTGCACTGATAATCCTCAAGAGATCAAGCAGGGAGCCAGTGCTCAGAGAGACCAGCATCACCAGCGAATCTGTGCTGCAGTAAAGAGTCAAATTCATGCCTTCTGGATCTCAGGCTGGCATGTGGATGATGAGGCCAGTCTGCTTCCAGTGCTAATTCTTGCCAGCCAGCTCCTGTTAGGATGTATGATTTCCGCAGCAGGTACTAAACCCAGGAGAGAGAATCTGTGTGTGATTTCAAACCTCTCCTGAAGCAGGTAGTTTTGCAGCTATTGCTTTCTACGTATGGAAAAGTGCTAGCTATCTCAGCAGTAATTACCTGACTTAATTTAAACAAAGGTTAAGTTGGGTAGGGTGCCATCTCGCATTACATCCTGACAGCCCACCTGATGTTTATAGAAGCTGATGGGGCAGGACATGACCTGATTTAGTGCTGTGGTATATTGGGAGCAAACACGTATGTGCTTGCAATATTTTCGTGTTTGCTTTCTCCTCTCTAGCAATCTCGGCATACAGTGCTTGATCCAGATTGTTCATATGGCTAGAAGAGAAGTGCCTGTTTTAATGCAGTCCTTGCAATATTATCCATTACTGGAGAGAGCTTCTCCATCTGTCATGTCAATGTCCTTTGGATTATATGTTTTCTCTGTCTCTGTGGCAGAGAAAGGTCTCTGAAGTCTGCTCCGAGACCAATAGACCATGCTTTTAGATCAGTTTGGGGTCATCAATGTTAGCAGCACACCCAGATGGTTATGGAAACCCATGGGAAAAGATTCCATTTCTTTTAAATTCCAGTAGTTTTAATTTATTCTTGAATTGTCCCAGCGCTTTCAATAGTTGACAAGTCATCAAGATCCAATTGGAAATGAATACACATAATGAAGCAGAAAATCATGCCAGTGGTCCAATGGGAAAGTTGCTACGGGAATCCAGAGGCAACTCCTGGCTGTGCAAGAGGTATAGGCAGATAGGTCAGGATCTGTTGACTTGTTCAGGTGCCTAACACCTTCTGAAATCCCCATGCTAAACCTAGTTCACAGTGTTACCTGCACTTCATAGAGAGCTGGTGGACTGAATGCAAGGTGATTGGGGGTAAAGGAGAAGCTGTTAAAGGGGGGAAGAAGAGTGGCAGTGCTGTTTTAACCTAGTAGAATACTTCACCTCGCCTCTATGTAAATTCATTGCAATCACCTGAAATCCTGTAGCTGAACTTTATCGAGTGGTTGCACAATGCACTTTGTTTTCTGTTCAGCTGGAAGCCTTAGCAGAACTGTCAGGTCTCATAAATGTAGAGGCAGCATTTGAATCATCTCCCACCTTCCCTTACCACCAGATTAGTGTTACATATTCTTGAAGGGCAGTGCCACAGTCTCTTTTCCAGGCAGTGACCCTTTGTGGTGAGAGGAAATGTTCAACGTGAGCTGAACCCTCCAATCTCTCTGGCATGGGGGTTTGAGCATATTTTGAGGCCTAAGAATAAATCTTGCCTTTGCCCTGTAGATGTTGACAATCCCTCTCACTTCCCAAAGGGGACTGAAGAAATCTCTCCACAGCCCTCAGATCAAAGTAGGAGCTGTGACAACCCATTCCTTTAGAGGGCTAGAGCTGGCTAAGCTACTAGAGGAAAACTGTCAAATGTCTCGGTCTGTTGGATATACTCTGTTATACCATACAGAAAATTTGCCTGGACAAATTTTGTCAAGACCTAAGACCTGCCTGAGCTATGATGCACCAGCAGGTCTGTGGTAGGTCCAGAAACCTAGACGTGTTCACTGTACACAGATGGATTAGCTGAAGAATGCAGATGTAGCAGCTCTTGACTTACGTAGTGTACATTTGCATGTAGCACATGGTCTGCTCACATGTATGTGGTAGATCTGAGAAGTGTCTGACTTACTGGAAAACGTACTTTCCAGTGAATCATGTACAGAGATAGGAGAGCACTGCCTAAGGCAGAGGAAGGCAGAACCTCCTTCCAAAGGGGAAATGGGAAAAAGATGATGTTCAGAGCAGAACACAGGAGCAACCAAGTCCTTCGTGATCTGTATGGTATCTGAGTGGTTGTAGCAGCAGTAGCACCACAGCACTGTCAGCACAGCGTGAATCCCCAGCAGTGACTTGTAACTCTTGAGGAAGAGACTGTTATGGAGACAAATGAGTCTGCAAAATGTGCGTGGGCTGTGCTTGTCACAACATGAGGGAGAAGAGAGTATGATAAATGTTCTCATTGCAAACTGAAGACTGTACTCTCTGTAGATACCTCCTTAAATGAAGTGAGAATTACTGTTCTAAATAGAATCACCTACTTGACATTAACAAGTGTTGAGCTTTGAGAAGAACTAATTGCTTTATAAGTGTAATGAAAGATTTCTTTTTATGACAAAATACCCATGTCCATTCAAACAAGTATCTTCCCTCTTCCTGTCCATTGACCAGCCTTTTACTGGTTACTAATTTCTTGGCTTACCAACAAAAATTAAGCAATGGTGTTGGAGAAACTAGGTGAGCTACCTCACTCTAACCACTGGCGTTGTAGATGCAGGCACTCTTTCGTACCACGAGGTCTGCCATAATACATCAGTGAGGTGCCTGTTGAGCACTGTACTTGCATGTCCTTCCAGAACTTGTGGAAAAGAGATAAATTGCTGTAGTAGGAACCAGCAAGGTCAAGTCCCATCATGTTGCCTTCAGGAAAAAAGGAGCACATCATAGTCTTCCTTCATGGGATGTGCTTTGAGAAAGGGAGGGATAGGTAACCAAGTCTTTTTGGCTTATCTCTTCACCACAGGGATACAGAGGAACCCAGGCTCTTCAGAGAAGTCTTGGGCCCCTTTGCTTTTGACTCTGCCAAGGTGCAAGGTGACCAGCTGCAGTGAGGTGAAAGGGTAGCTGATCAAGCCTTTCCCAGATGTTAAAAGAATTATCCTTGGGAATGGATTTAGGACCAGGCTTCTCTTTTCTCCTGTCATTTTCCTGGGTCACGTCATACCACATAAAGATTCCTTCTGGATGCATTCAGCTATTTACCTCTACTCTCAAAGCTCCTCTCCAGGTCTGATTTCCATTTAAGTTAGAGACAGAAGTCAACTTCTGCAGAAATCAGTATCCTGCAAACTCTCCCATCATGGATTCTCATGCCATCTTATTTTCTCATCTCCGTCCACCCAGTGGTCACAGATGTGCAAATTAAGTTTTCATGCAGCAGGACTGCAGTCGACCTCTTCTACCTTATTAATATAAATTGTGCCTGCCTGGTGTGATGGATCAGGTTTTTGTGGAAAACCAATGCTAGAATTGTTGTTGCAGCAACAATGTGAATGTTGCAGCAGCTCTGTGGGCCCACAGAATTACATAAATTATCACACATCCTAGCCTGAAATAATTATCGTAGTTGTCAAAGCAGCTTTTTGGGAGAGATTTAATTAACTTCACCTTTGATAATGAATAGGGAGTTGAACTGGAAGGAAGCAGCTGTCAGCATAAGATTTGTCTTTTTCCAGTGCTGGGAGCAGTGTCAACAGTGGGATCCCAGTTCTGCTGCCCTGTGATTGTAGACCTGGTGTATTCTTTCTTAGGATTACGCTGATCTAAGACTGCTGGTGTTGAAAGGGACAGTCCAGCTCTTACCTTTGTACTACAGCTGCATCATCCTGCCTGAGCCCTTAAAAGACGAATTTTACGGGTTGTATTTACAGCTGCGAGTTGTGCCATCCATGATGCAAGTGATGACCCTTTCAGGAGCATTACATTGTTAGAGGCTGAAGCTATTTGTGAAACTGCATCCTAACAATGGCCATTTATATACACCATTCAGTGCGTACAGCTTCTTGAGAAGGTTTGTTAGCTTCAGGATTGCCAAGGAACTGTTGACACTCTTAAAGCAGAAAAAGTTTGTATGTTCTTCATTCAGCAGGCCATTAGCAGCTGCTGAATTCAGAGCACAACACTTAGACCTTCAGACTAGCCAGGAGTCATATGGGACACCACCTCCAGCACCATGTGATGAGAAAAGCTTTCTTGCTGTCCTGAGGATATGAGAGCAGCACCATGGGCAAGAGAAGAGCTTTGAGAAACTCCAGAGGGTTTAAATCTAGATCCTTTGGGCAGAGAGTTGTTTGGGTGATGGGCAGGTGGTGGAGGAGGTTGCAACAACTGCGTCAGAAATTTCCTGACCACTCTAGGGCAGTTTCCCTTGCTCGTTGTGTCCTGACTGTGGGGAAAGAACCTTGATTTGGCTGCAGTAGCTTTCAGTAAACAAATAAATAGCTGTTTTTCTTTTCTTTACCAGTTCTTGGTGGGTTTTCTTGCTGCCCAAG